TACTAGACTCATTATTATTTTATTTTATTTATTTTATTTTTATTTTATTTATTTTTATTTTATTTTTATTTTTATTTTATTTTTATTTTTATTTTTCCTTTCAAATTGTGTGGAGTTTTTCACATTTGCTTTTAAAGGGTCTTCATCAATATTATGAATAATGAGTCTAGTACGAATATAAATTCTTGTTTGACGTCCAATGATTTCATAGCAAATCATGTTCACTTGATACACTGGTCCCTTATGAGCAAAGATTGACCGAATCAGGGAATATGCTAGCCGCTGAAATAAAGGTGACCCACTGAAGAAAGCGAGTTCCTTTTACGCAATAAAGAGAGCATTCCGTTCGCTTCTCGAAGGGTTTTCCTCCATCGTCCCGTTAGTTTAACGGTTGATTATGCTCCTGTCTTTGTATCTATGTCGTATACGCGTGGAGATTTTTAACCGTACAGTATTTCATTGCTGGCGGTCCATGCTAGAAATCATAGCTTTCTAAATGTACTAGCACTTCTGATAATGCTGCTCAGTTGGGTATACCCAACTGAGCAGCATTGCTGGTTGAGAATTTACGAGTTGCTGAAGCTAGACGGAAAAAGAATAGAATTTATACTCCGTCGTAGGTTCGGGAATGCAGAAGTTCTTTCAATTATCCCCTCTCAAGGAGACAACACCCTAGAATCAAGAAGACATTTTTTCATGAATGGTTTGATTTTCCCTTCAAAAGAAAACGTCACAATTAAGACGTCCTATACTGTCGCCAACGTTATGTTAGGCTACGTCTTTGTGGTAAGTTATTTGGGTTCCAGGTTTGTACTGACCATCTTACAAGTTCACTGTGCTACATTCATGTCGTACTGGGGAAATTTTGTAACAATTAACCCCAGGTAAGCAGAAAATTCCGTCGTGCACCTAAAATGCCGAAATGTCCTCCAAGTCTCTTCATTTTTTGCAGGATCCCACGTATTAGTCTTTCCTTTTGTGTTATATATGCTTTGCTGCATGTTCAATGTTTTTTGTGTCCCATAGAATGATGCTTGGTAACATCACCCAGTCACAGCATCTGTTGAGTTTATTCAAGAGAATTCATCGATTTGAGTGACAACTTTATCAGAATAAACCACTGTTCTAACGGTAATCAATCGCTCATAGGGGCAACTTCTGAATCCGTCTGAAGCGTTATTTGATAGGATACCCTTCTAATAGGATGAGGCACTGATCGAGGATGATCGTTAGTAAACAAACACGAACGGAGAAAGTGAACTAGGATATAAACTTTGATGACCGTGTGACTGGGACAGTATACATCATTCACAGAAATGCGAGGATTTTGAGTTTCTGACAATTCTGGCTCAGGTAAATTACTCACAAAATCGGTTTGAGATGCGCTCATACTTCCAGAGTCATCCCTGGTTCTTACCATTCACTTTTATATCTCACGAGTCAGTATCCTCCTCAGTGATAAGTTTTACTATTCTCCCAAGAGGGTCCCTCTAATGAGGAAGCCTACTGTACGATTCGAGAGCAGTGTAAATAGTATACTTTTCTTTCAAATTTGCCTACTTCGTCGAGTTTTCCTCATGTTATCATGTGTTAACACTTTGTCCTTATTTCTTCCTAGAAAGTTGAAAGAATGGACTTTTGAGAATGGATGGATTTCTCGCAATATTCAGCTGTCACACAAGGGAATCAAACAGCTTCTCAAGCGTGGGTTTAAACGTTGGAGATTTGATGTTCAAGCGAACATTTACCGGGAACTGGAGTCTAGAGGGGTGAGTTCTACCGTCAGTTGTCTGGATTTTGTTAGTAACTCTTAATCGTTCGGCTGTCACTGTATAGCTCTCCGAACCCATCAACTGCTTTTGAAGACAGACTTGTTGGTGTTAAGCCAGTATCCTTTCCTGTATATTTCATCTGCTACACCCTGTCCTTTATCCGTCACTAACTGCTAGCAGGCGCGATCCCCCGTAACGTAAGCTCAGAAATTTAAACATATTCCAAACACCTCATGTTGTGGTTTAAGAATTTAAGATGTCGTTTCTTGATTACTTTCCCCATTATGACCCGGAAAAAGAGAACGCTTCACTTCAAAGTTTCTCACTGTGTTGGTCATCGACCACGGCCCAGAGAGCGACGCCTCAAGGAGTAGCCAATCTTCTGGGGGGAGCCAAACCACTATATTACCGCATTGTTCTCTGTTAGATACGATTATTGTGTATGTATCTATGTATGAGGCAGTCGAGTTTCAACACTTGCCGTTCACTGCCTCCTGTAGATATCCCCCGGAAATGGTGACAAAAAAGGGACGATGGTCAGTCAGTGTACAGGAAACTTGATTTTCTGTGCAGAAGAGCTTGTATCTCTTAAGATTTAACTAGTAGCACAAATTGCATGTGTTTTCAAAAGTAGTCTATAATGTCTACGGGTGTACGGGCACTATTTTTCATGGGAAGGATGTGCATATAGCCAAAGGTACCGTCATTACAGACCATTAAACCTTCATCACCTAAAACAAAGAGGGATATTTATCAATAAAGTGTGGGACAGTTTTTAACAGCTACCGATATTAGGCACGAAATATTAACACATAACTGCTTCCATCCGCAAATCCAGTGGGCTATTCTGCACAACCTGTCAAAGACCCCCTGAAGTTTTAGCTTTCAGAGCAGAGTATCATGACTTCAGTGACTTCTTTTCGCAGGTTATTCTGGGTTTGTTGCTGAGTCCTTAATCTTCTGATTGTCCTGGTAATCATACGTGTTGGGAACAGAGCTTACAACCGATATTTCCTGTTCCGTTCCAAGATTTCTGAAGCTTATTTCGATGTAACCAATTCAACTAACGCGCTAGCGTTGCAAGGTGTTACTAATGCTGATTTTGTGTTGATGAATTGATGCCATCCTAGTCGATGAAACTACTTGGTAACGGCGTTGGAATGCGAGATTACAACCTGCTGACTTGTTGCTGTTCACTGTTTCGACGTTCTACATCCAGCTGCGCTAATCTGATTGCCTGTTCCACTCGTGCGCACTTGGCGCTCAACGAGCCTCCCGCCTAATGAACTGTGGGTCAAAGCATTATGTCGTCAGGATGGTGGACTGTGCTTCAACCTCGCCTCATCAGCTCAAATTTACCGACACATGTATTTTGGGGACGGCATTTTAGACGTAGGACATAAAGGCGGCTCGGAAAGGCCGTAACTGGGACAATTTTTGAGGAAGCCTGTTGTTGCCAGTAGACTAAAGTGTTATAAAGACTGTTGGTTGCATGTGAGTTTTCTATATTTGCCTAGCAGTCGATAACAGACTCACTAACCTTTTACCGTGTGTGACTACTTTTTGGGTTTAGCAGTGCAATCCACGGACGCTAGTCAGTCCGTCTGGATTGAAGCGAGTCGCCTGTGAATCATAATTTACATTCAAAGTTGCTAATTTAGACCGCCAGCTTAGGGAACCATGTTTGTTCTCTTAAGAGGTAGTTCTTGGCCTGTTTCATAGAAAGTCATTCAGCTTACGAGAAATAGGCTTACAGATGTAACTCAAAAAATAAACATAAGAACATAGTAACTATACGTTCCCTGGGAAGTATTACCTAATATGAAACGTTTGAAAAATTTCATTCTACCACGTACTTCGAAAAATAACCCATACTTTCAAAGGCCTATGTAGTAGGATTAGATGATAGCTCAAGTACGCGTTCAAAACGTCTATTTCAAAACTTGAGAGGTTAGAAATCCTCTTCGTCAAATTTACGACGTGGATTGTTTGACCTAAAATCTTCTTGGGTCCCCAAAACAAATATCTGACGATAGTTCATGTTGTGCGACACATTATTCATAATAACCTGAAATCTAAAAGCCTGCTTCATCTGCACGATTAATACAGCCCAAAATGAGCTACCCGGGTCCTAAATGGGTGGATGCGTCTACACATCTCCGGTGTTAGTGATCGTTTCAAGGGGATCGCAAAATTTCTGAACGAACCTTCCCTACAATTTTCAGCCACTGGAGACAAAAATTCTCACCGCTTGCTTCCTTAGGTTAAACGGACTACAAACCAAATAAGTTGGTCCTCCGCACAATCCAGTCCTTGATGTTAATAGCTCTGTCAGTGCTTTTAGCATGTGGAGGTGAAGGGACGTCCAATTTTTCCCCACACCGTTTCCCATCGTATTTCAAGGTTCAAAGTTTGATCTAAGTTTATCCGGTTGGATGACTTTTTGCCATTTCCAGATTTACCGGGGTAGAAGCGCGATTAGCCTTCAGGTTCATTTTAAAGCATTTCCACGATACCCATAAAGTTTTTACCTCTGCTCGTGTTTTGTGGACGGCGGTTTGCAGATGTTTTTTAGCATTGGTTGAACTGAACCTGTGGGCCCAAATTTAGTCGAAATAGCACGTTACAGCTTTTCCCCTCTTTTGGGAATAATGAATATAAATCGTTGTTGGCTAGCTAAATCACAATGTCCACGTTTTCACATTCGTTTTCTACCATCATGTGTCAGTGCCCACGTTGTCCGATAGGTTAGATGATGTGTGGGTTAAGTTTGTTAAGGTGGAACTGATGCTGTCTGTGACTTATACCATCATGCTAATTTCATTCGGTCTGTAGCTGACGGCGATAACGATGATGATGTAAGGCGCCAGCGTCATCATCATAATCCCTGTCGTTCACAATACGGTAGCATCGTTGATCAACAGTTATATACCTTTTGACAGCTACCGAATGCAACTCAACCTTTCTCCGCGGTAATCCAATCAATTTCAAAGTAGTCATCTTAGAAATATGCAGTGGAGAAAAGAGAGTATGAATATATAGATGGATATCCCCTTGTGTTGAGCTCAATGAGACTGGCCTTAATACCTCGCAGCATAGACCCACTGGATAGCAAAGCCAACAGTAAAGTGGTAATGGACGGAATCTTGGCATGTGGACCTTGAGTCGGGCGAACAAACGGACAGTTTCGCAAGGTGAATTTATACTGCACGAAAAGCCCTATAGACTACGTGTCGGGCCTGATTATGTGGCTTTTTCTCACAGTTTCACGTTGTCCTTTGTTCTTTCGTCAGCTCATGCTATTCTATCACTTAACTGTTCCTTACAGCATGGCGGAATTATTTTGTGTAGATTGGTGACAGGCCGATGAACTGGGAAATGTCATAACTTTTGGACTTTTCTGCAGATATTTTGAACCCGTAGAAGCACAAGGGCTTATTCACCCTCATTTGTTGCAGCTTTTACCATCCTGGGCGTAACGGAATATGCATAAAAGCGACCGGCTTGTTCATATCATATTACCCGGGTGTTCTGCTATCAGTGGTAGATATGGATAGGTAACTACTGGGCAATGACAAAATTGGTAAGGATGGATTGTGAGTTATCCAGACATGGGGTAAACCGAGCAAACGTTAATTTTACCAATCGATATTGTATTCAAATCCGAGGCCTCCGTTCTCCCTGATCCCGGTTGAGCACTACCAGTGCTAACATAAACTCCGGTTCCCTCACATTGAAAATAAAAATACCCATTACCTTATTTCCCCATGCGGTTCTACAAAGTGGACTTCACGCAGTGTTCTGTCCCTTTGTGCAGTCAGGTGCTTCTGCTAGTTGCCGAAAAGTTATAGGTACTGTTTTGAATAGACTACTCTCTGGGTACTCTGGCTTCCGTATACGAAGACCGGAGCCTTTCCTGGAAAACTAAACCACCAACCTTTTGGTTCCATCACTGACAACTTGCAGGCTGCTGGAAGCCATCCTAGGTTAAATTTTTATTGTTTATTTTTCCTCTGTTTTCCCTGCAGCCCAACGCTGATAAGTGATTCTAACTAAACAGGTGCCATATATGGTTAAGGTAACTTTGTTTAACAGTCTAACAGTCTCTCGGTATTCAGTCTTCATTGTCATTTCTGGTAATATCACTAACTGTATTCGTGTTTGTGTGGAATTTTTTAAAGTTTTATCGAACCATGAATCCTTTACCAATGTGCTAGAAACTTTTGACAAACCTGGTAACAGTCTAACAGTCTCTCGGTATTCAGTCTTCATTGTCATTTCTGGTAATATCACTAACTGTATTCGTGTTTGTGTGGAATTTTTTAAAGTTTTATCGAACCATGAATCCTTTACCAATGTGCTAGAAACTTTTGACAAACCTGGACTTGGACGTCACATCGTTCTCCTTTTCCCACACACGCGTTAAATCTCCTAGTTATTGTTGCATGGAAGTCATAGTCGTTTACATGGTTACTCCTTCTTTTGTGCTTCTAACTGACGATTTCCGACCACTGGCTTTTGAAGCCCATATCCTTCATTGTTAAGGCGTCAGCTGATTATGAATAAAACCCCTATACGTTACCAATGAGCGCTCCCGAACGGTTGATTCCACAGTGTATACGAAACATAGTTGTGTCCGCTTCGGATAAGCTGGGGACCTACGTTACTGACGAGCAATGGCATTATGTATTTAGCCATGGTTTGAATTGATTTAGTGTGTACTATGATGACCATTGAAATTCAATTCTATAACCATCGGGGGCCTAGCTAGCTGGTAACCTTAGACAGCTCAGGAAGATCTGCCGACGTTCCACCCATGGATCACCATGTTCCCGCCGATGGTTAGGAAGTCCAATTCGACCATCGCAGACAGGACCACAAACACTGAAGATCTGGCTTGTTCTCCCTCCAGTCCAACAGCTCTGGGAATACCATTGTGTCCTCGACACTTCAAATGTGTCGCTTGAAGTTGGCCCTCGCTGAATTGCCGAACACCAGTTCGTCTAATTTCTCTCCGTGAAGTCCATTTTTAAGTTTCGGTTTCTGTTACCACGGGATCGACGGTGATAGCCATCGCAATTCCGTCAGTCATAATTTCGAAGCTTATGTCCTGCATTATTCTGTTTTTTTCGGCATTCCGTTGGACATACAAATGCCCCTTCGAAATCCTGCTCCCTTTCATTCTTACGGCATATCCCACCCACCGTAGGCGGTTGACTATTTTCGTGGCCTCAGTTCCGTCACAGTGCGCTCGTTGGAAGACCTCTGTGTCCCCTACTGGTTCAGTATGGCTAATACCATTTTATCCGCCTCAGGCAGTGCGTGTGAAGGCAAATCAAGTATCGGATGCTGAGCCGGTACATGAGCAGTGTTCTAATACTGTACGAGAGGACATATTAGACCAACACACTGTACTCGATCAGCTTGGCCTTCACTCTAGGGCTTTGTTTTCTCCACAACTGTTCCTCGAGTTGACCCAAAGCAACACGTGATCTCCGCTCACGGTCATTGGTCATGTTGACAAAGAGTGTGCTTCTGAAATGGCAGAAATCCACACGCTAGTCACAAATTTCCTCCCAGTTTTGATGTACGGAGGAGTGCTGGGAATCCCACAAGGCGCCGGTTGGTTCGTTGCAAGGCTCTTCGATTGGAGGCACAGGCCGAAAGTGCGCAGCGGCAGTCGCAAACTAGTCAATTAGGGGTTGCATCTCACCTGAAACCCAGCTGAATCTCTAGTTTGTGATGTTTTCCGGTGTTTTCTTAGGTTCTTTGTTATTTGCTTGCGCCGTCGTACTCTGGTAGAAATTCTCTGGCGTAAATCAAGGCTACCTATGTGGACGATATCTCATGATCATTCGCTCGTATCTGAGAAGTGAGAGAAGCAGCAGCGCTCCTTCTCCATTTGTCCTGCTTCATTCAGATTGTCATTGCCAGTAGTGCGTTCGCTTAGTCCAAGGGGTGGTCGAGCTAGCTCAACCTAATACTGCTCATCTATGTTAGTTCTCCGACGATGTTGGATTGACATACTTCATGCTCATTTGTCAGGGCTTGAGGACAAGCTAATTATCAGACGTGTTCGGATCCAAGTTGTACTTCAGGAGGAGCGGCATCCTTGAATTGCGGTTCACCACTGGTCACTAATAGCCACGTGATCCAGTTGAGTTCACGGTTGATTTGCACCTGGTGGTCACCAGGTTACACGCTGTGAGCGATTATGTATAAAATCTCCGCTGGCCAGAAACATTTGGAGGCCTCCCTGTCCATTGTCTGTGCGACGAGTATCGACTTCATATATTTCACCGATCATCAGACACAGATGGTGAAATGTGAAACGGATGAGTTCGTCTTGGCGCTTTAAGATGCGTGTCCACTTTGAGTCTTGTGTGTAGGTCTCAGAGACAGTGTACATCAATCTTAAGGGACTTTAAGTTTTGGGCCAGCATTGTTTCTCTACCTTTTCGACAAAGATTGCGGCGTTGAAAGCTGCTGTGTAGAAAAGATCTCGTGGATTTTGTTGTCATCGTTTCTTGTTTCTTGGTAATGGGTAATTTCTAAGTCACATTAGTCTGGTGACTGACAGTCAACCGTTGCGGAGACTTTTACTTGTGGGATTGAGGGAGTTGGGGAGGGACATCGGTGAACAAAGAACTGTGCAAACAAATGATTCGGGTTACCAAGACCGAGAACAGAGCTTTTTATGAGGTCCTCCAGCATGAGCCTTGACTCAATTATATAACTGGCAAGACAACTGGAAGTAGATTTTCTTGAGGGTCTTTTGTTAGCCTAACCTTGGCTGCATTCGGTGGCCGTGCCTGTGCGGTGCGTAGGGAATAGGTCGTAGGCCTCCCTTGTTGGTGCTACCGTGTGCACAGATGCGTGTGGAGTACCATTGGTCGCTTGGTAGGTTCTAAGTGCACTTCGCCCTTAGTAGATACTTTGCCGGTAGTCATAGTCAGCCTTGGGACGATCGGAGTTACGGTTTTAGGGTCGACATTTTTAACCCGTCCTCTTCCGGAGGAAGACAGTATGGCCATTTCCATAAATGTGGACATTCTGATCGCGTTTCACGCTCCTTTCTACCTTCACACTCCTGTCTGGAGGACAGTACGACTTTATCCTCCGACCACATCGTAATACGATTACTAGTAGTACAGCATTTCTTAGTTTGATAACTCATTTGTCCTGCCCGGCATGTTTGCACCTTGTAGAGCTAGATGCCCGCGGGATCATTGCGGCACGACCATCAGCTTTTGATCAGGGTTGGTGTAAATAATTTCCTTCGCTGGATTCTCACCTGCTAGGAGGTAGCTTATTGCTTTGATGTGCAAACCGCCTACACATAGACGATGGTGGTAAAAAGTCAGACTGCCTTCCATTTGGTCTGCTCTCCTAGAGATGCCTATAAACTGTTCAGTCGCATGGACTTTCCTGAAAGTGGATTGCATATTCGTAAATGGATTTTAAAAGACTGCCAGAAGAATGAATACAAGTCGCTTGCTTACCGGATTTGAACATGTTACATCTGGCAGTTTACTTTGTTTGACTACTTTACGAATACGAGCGTAGATACGGTTGCTTCAGTTTGTTTGAATTAACCATTGTAATGAGGCGAAGAATAAAATGTAAGTGAAAGACAAAGTATACTTACCAATCACAGGACGTACTAGCTATCTACATAAAATACTCACCCGAACACTAACGTCGTTGATGGTCGTTGGCAGTCATATCTTGTCATTCCCCCAACCAACACAGGGATGATTATTTGGATACCATTTTGGAAGGAAGACCCCAACTTAAATGTTTGATTTGATCTCAAACCATGGGGAGACACTCAACATGTATGACGTAAACCTGAATGTGTCCATTTGCGTTGCGGAACCTGAAGGCTTGTGGTCCGAATGGAGCCAGGATGCGTAGGTACCTAGGCTTACTGCGCCGCTCAGTGTGGTTTGTGGGGTTTGAGGTTTTATTTGAATTCTTGTCTCCAACGTTTGCTTCCAGTTTACTGGAAGCCGTGTATTCATCAACTTGTGATGTGCGATCGATAAGTGACTGATGCCCACCGGTCCATTCATACAACAGTTCATTTACTTGCAGGAAGGATGGAGCAACGCAACTTTCAATTCAAATAAAGCAGTTGAATGTAGGCAATTTAATTGCAAACGTTTTGTAACCAATCGGAAAGTGGAACATAACGGTGCACCCGTGTTAATTAACTGGATGTGAGCACAGTCAGATAGCAATGGTGCTTGCTAACCTGCTTTGACGGTACCTTTGGCTTGTTGTCCATCCCAAAGGATTTCATTGTTTATTCATGTGATATTACACAAGATTTTTGAAACAAGAACTGTATCTCCTAATTGACACTTGATCACACGTAAAGTGAACGGGGGACGATGTGAACCAGAAAAGTGACCTGATAGAAGGGTACTTAATTGGGGTCTTGATCTCTTCAATGTAGGGTTAGACGATCCGGCGCATATTCTTCTTATGGGTTTCATAATGTTTATGCTTAGAAAAACTGCCACAGATGAATGATTCGGTTTGTACCGATTGATTTGTCAGTGTCGTAGGAATCATGTATTGTTTGTATGATTTTTCTAGGGAAGTCAGTTTCCTCCATTTCCACACTTTACTGCTTGTCGTTTGTTCTGAGCACATTTCGGCACTTTAGTTCTTATGCTCATGACCCATTCTATTCGGTTCTAATTCGATTCACGCAGTCGGTTTCCCGTTCCAGGTGTTCAATCCGGAAGGTCTGGGTAATTACCCATACCGGCACGATGCGTTAATTATTCATCGTATTTTGGAAAAATACGTGGCAAAGTACCTACGTTACGTATATGGTGAGTCGTGTGTGTATTTTAAAGTATGGTGGTCACTTGTGATGCCTCTGATTGTGGTTCACTTAACCGAGCCACCATATATTCATTTACATAGATCAACAAAAGCGACAACTTATCCTGCATGTGAATGGTAAGCATAACGACTACAGCACTTTCACGTAGTGTGTATGACCTTATTGGTTCAAAATTCGTCACCGTCGTCATCTTTCACATGCATAAAAGTGTAAATAAGGGGTTTGGGTTCTTGCAATGTGAGCGTTGATCGAAAAAAAACTCATGGCATTTCTGCATTGCCAGTTCAATGTTCTCGTGGTACTTCGGATAACTGCCATTACTCTGACTTTTCATTCGTCTTCCAAATGCCCCGCATGGGTTTTACCGGAATTAGGGTGAGTCATTTTGTTCCAAACCTAGGCAAAACAAGGGTAAGACAGTCAGAATCCGGTAATTTGTTTCCCCTCAAAAGTTTGACTTCGTTTTTGGCTCCGTCTTCTGTTTGGCCGAACAGTTCACGTCCCATTTTTAATCCGTTGATTCACCGATCCTGAAGGCGGGCAGCACAGTCCAGCTAAATTGTTCTTCAAACTATTCCGTCCACCGAAACAGGCAGCGAGATCTGGGATGGATATTCGGCCCGTCTTTCTCTGTAACTGACCACCGTGTTCCTTGATCCACTACGTTGAAAAAGACTCCGTCATATATATATATAT